GCTGAAGATGGTTGCATGCGATGGAAGACTTCGGATTCCGTACAGTTAATCTCGTTAAACACTGGTGGTTTTGAATATGTTCTTTTGTATATTCTCCTGCTGAATAGCTCATATCAGACAATAGGATTTCTTTTTGAATCGTACTATGAATGAAACGATGGGTACTTAATGAGACATGTTGAGCTGCAGCGCAGTGTAGCGGCTTGCAAACAAACGGTGCATCACAATTTCGAAGCGTGAAACAGCGAACGTTTAGAGCATATATAAGAAGGTGGAGTCGGTTTGCATCACGTTATCATGCTGGAAGACGACGTCATCACATAAATGTGTAGTTTAACATTTTATGGCTTGATACGATCAAAGAGTTTGATCATGCTGATCGCGATTTAATATTACTGTTTCTCGCAGGTTGTACGCGTTAAAATGGTGACAATGACTGCTCGTTAGTTGAGCACATTGGAAAACTCTTTTAATGCGATTCATGTAACTACGGTATGCGAAACGCCTGTTTTTCTTTGCTAAGCTTTTACTGGAAATTATCTATCAGTACGTTCCTTCAGATATGTTGGGCAGTTAATGTTTACCTTTTCTACATTCAAAAGCAGCATTACAGTTCAAATTTGTTAGTAACGGATTCGTTAGGAGTTGTTTCACGAATTGTTTTTAATTCTATCCGTTGTCTACTCTTCTCGCTCAATAACTGTTTTCGCGTTTATTGGCTTTTGAAATATTTGCTTTCCAATGTACCATTGTGACTTAGTTCGTTGTCTAAAATTGAGCCATTTTTTTAGCCGTTCAATCAAGCGTCTGTTTGTGATAATGCAGACAATAAAATGCGTTGTCGTGGGTGACGGGGCCGTCGGAAAAACGTGTCTGTTGATATCATATACGACGAACAAGTTCCCTTCTGAATATGTTCCAACTGTAAGTTTGTTTTATCGCATTTATCGTTTCTTGCAGCGTCTACAGTCTTGGTTCTGTCATGCTTTGTATTGTCACATCTACATAT